GTTAAAACAGGTGACTCCTCCAAATGGCTTTTGGCCCCCTTTCGGGAAAATAATAAGTACCGTTATCAACTCGTTTATATTAAGTTGATGATAATACTTTCTATAATATTCTATTGTATTACGTACCTGTCAATTTCGTCTACTGGTTCTCCTTTTCCCATGTAACCACAGTAACAACCGTATCCTTTGTAAGTTAAAGGATTACATCCCGTGACACAATGTAACACATTAGCCAGTTGCAAGATACTCCGTCGGGCACGAGCTGTTCGCACCTTACGATTAGAACTACTGAGTTCCAGATTTTCCTTACGTTCTCCATTAATATAACCAGTCTTTATTGGTTTGTTTTTAACCAATTCATTTATTGTTGTACGTGGAGCATTTGATGAATCCGTGAAATCCAGGACAGTAGAACATAGCTGTAGGTTATCAGCTGCCGAAGAAGAAAGAGCAAATTATTAACGAGAGAGGGAATGTGGTTAAAACGTAAAGAGAGAATGTTTAGCTTGGAATCTTTAAAAAAAATCAAAGCTTGAATGTGAAGTCAAAGAATTAGTTAAACACTAACTAGTTGAATAAGTTTGACAAATGACTATGTACTCTTAACAGTTTAGACGAGTGTAGGATCTAAACAGGATTCCAAATACAAACATTTCGTGTTGTATACCAACACCTGTACTGCACACATAATGATATTTGAAGATACGCAGATAGTATGAGACGGCCAATCGTGTAATTTATGTGTTCCTATTCATAAATTAAATGAAAATACCTATAAGCCTAAAACAATTGCACTGATTCGACAGCAAAGTATAGCTAGGCCTAGGCTGTAGTAATCTGAGTATATCAGCCCCTCAGTGGTTCAGCGGTAATTCTGAAGGCATATAACGCAAAAAACCAGGTTTCGATACCCGTGGTGGGCTCAACACAGATAGCTCATTGTGTAGCTTTGTGTTTAACAAGAAAAACAAACAAACTGAATAAATTTCGCTGTAATTATCCACTAAATTGGGATTGAATACTACCCATCTGATTTAGTAATGTGAATAGGATGGTAAGGTAGTTTGAGTTGTTGAAAAGTGTCATAAAATGCTTTACTAACAAATCCTAGTGGGTTAATCCTGTAGTTCAGTTGGCAAAGCAGTTTCGGGTTCGAATACAATTGAGATAATAACAAAGTTGAAATTACTCATAGAAAAACTGGTGCCCAACGTGAGGTCGTCCCATGACCCTGAGATAAAACACGAGGACGAACCTAGTTTGTAAGAGGGGGAGAATGTGATAGTTTTAGTTGTTGAAAAGTGTCTTATAAGCAGTCATTCGTGGTTTAATCTTTTTACCTCAGCTGGTAAGGCAAATGTTTGGTGTACAATAAATCTCGGGTTCGAATCGAATCCGAAAAAAATATAAATATATGAGCACAGTAATAAGGAAAAGAAAAAGTTTTAGCCAAACTTATAACCCAGTAAGCCTATCTTATTACAATATTTTGTTACGTTTTTACGTACATATATATTGTCTAGTATTACGACAATCGCCTCTAAACATTTTGAAACAAAACAATGCTTTAAAATACCATCCGTATCAGAGAAGCGATGTCATGATTGGTGTTTGATCGAGTAGTTGTGCGCGACCTGGAATGGTCAGGTTCTGTTTTCAGATATCTTCCTCCCTCTTCAGAGAACAGTCATCTATCTGTATCGGTATTTGGTCGCGTTGTTGATAGTCGCAACCTGGGAGGGTCAAGTGCAATTTAGACTTCTTACTTCCTCCTTTACATGTTCAATTTTAAACTGACAAATACCAGCGAATAGTTCACGAAAACAGAGCTAAAAACAGTATTTTCAAGCACCGTTTCTTCTTCACTCTTCAGGGCCTTGTCCATGGATATAATACAGTAGCATTTAATGCTTCATTACCACTTTGTTTCATTTGGTTGTGAAAAGCACTGCGTAAATAGTTCACCGGTAAATCATCAATTTTCACAAGGTTAATTTATCAAGTGCGAATTTCACATAAAATACCCTATGAATACACATTTAATACTTTAATCCAGGTAATGGGGTAAATTTTTGGTAATTGTTTATCTTTTATATGAGTAAAGAATTCATAAATTCGGATTATATGTGGAATTATTGGAGTAAAATGTTTCTTGACTATTGTTACGTCTCCGTTCGTTAGTTAATTTTCCGTAAATTTTTTCCGACTAAACTTTAGCGACACAAGTCCTTTCTTAAATAAAACTGGTTTATTCTTTCCGAATACAACTTTACGATGCACTTAATTTCAACAGTCGCTCTATAACAACGCTATAACTCACGTCTCACGTGGCCAACAATATTTTGTCCGCATACATTCAATTACTCATTACCTCCCCGTCGCTTCGTGGCCGGTCTTATATATACAAGACTACACTATATCTAAAAAGATCACGAGATTTAAGGAAAAGACGTGAAAGTTCGAGAATGACGTGGCGTGATACTAGTCACGTGACCTCGATGTCGTAACACTATTTAAAAAAGTTAGACCATGTCGTCTGTTTGCTTTTGTGGATTTTAGTATTCGTGGATGAAGTTTTTAAAGGTGTTTCTGACTGCTTCTGTGATAGGATTAATTGAAGAGACTGATTACTGAATATTTATCTTAGTATTTGTTGAATTTGTGTTTTTATTTTATTGTTGTTCTGTGGTTGTTTGTTTTGAGTTATTTGGTGCAAAGGTATATATATATATATATATATTTGTGAGATCTGAGTAGTTGAAGTTGTTGGTTTTGATATTGGTGTTGGTGTAGGCAGTAGTTGTGTTTTTGTTACTGTCTTTTGTGTTTGGTTTATTTCGTTAGATTGTGTTTGTTTGTGATGTATGTTATATATTCTTTGTTTAATGTCCTTATATCTGGGACAATCTTTGTAAGTTACTGGGTATCCTTGTCTGCAATTACAACAGAGAGTTTTGATGTTCGTTTTTCTATTCCGAGATATGATGTTATCCACCACATCCCATACATCGTTAAAGAGATTTGCAAGCTGCCACGACGTGTCCGTAACGTTGACATTTGTAACATTGCGTTACGACTACGGCGGGTGTTTTTACTTCTTCCACTTGAAATCTCTGATATCAGAGATTAATACCACTTGATATTATACTCTGGATATCCTGGATTTCTTGTGTGTGTACCGTTATTAGGTTTAATTGTTTTTGATATGATTCTTTCTACTTTAGTGAAAGAAATATCGTGTTCTGTAAGTTGGTTTTGTATCTGTTCTGTTTAAATGCTGTAAGGAATACCCTTGATAACAAAGGCTTTCATGATTGGTTTGATTACTGGTAAGTGAAGTGTGATGTGTGTCCTGGCTTGAAGGCATCTCGAGGCCATTCTTTGAGGAGACTGTTTACCTTTGACTAATACACCGCCCTTAGCAAGACGTTTGACTCCCGCAATTTTTACATTCGGCTTACATCTTCGGATTTCTGTTGCTAATTGTGATACACCTTCAAGGCCCGGCATGGCCAGGTGGTTAGGGCGCTCGACTCGCAATCTTTGGGTCGCGGGTTCAAATCCCTGTCCCACCCAACACGCTCGCCCTTTCAGCCGTGGGGACGTTATAATGTGACGGTCAATTCCACTATTCGTTGGTAAAAGAGTAGCCTAGGAGTTGGCAGTGGGTGGTGATGACTAGCTGCCTTCCCTCTAGTTTTTACTGCTAAATTGATCATGGCTAGCGCAGATAGCCCTTGTGTAGCTTTGCGAGAAATTCAAAAACAAACAATACACCTTCAATGATTACTGCGTGTTTTGATCGTTGTGTAGGTATTGTTTTATCTTGTAATTTTTTGTTTGTGTTTTGTTATGATATTTGTTTTGTTTTGTTTCTAAAGTGAACTGGTCTATTTCTGTATGTATCCTGTGTTTGAAGCCGTCTGTTTCTGTATGTTTCCCGTGTTTCAATGTTTTGAGTCTGTTTCTGTATATTTCCTGTATTTGAAACCGTCTGTTTCTGTATGTTTCCTGTGTTTCAATGTTTTGAGTCTTCAGAGAAAAACGTGAAGAACTGTTTATTTTGAATTTCGCACAAAGCTACTTGAGCACTACCTGCGTTAACTATCCTTAATTTAGCAGTGCCAGACTAGAGGAAAAACAGCTAGTCAACAACACCCACCGCAAACTCTTGAGCTACTCTTTTACCAACGAATAGTGGGATTGATCGTCACAGTATAACGCCACCACGGCTGAAAAGGCGAACATGGTCAGTGACAGTGATTCGACCCCCTAATCATCATGCCATGCCAGGCCCCAGCGAAGAATTGAGTGAAATAGTTTGAAATTTGGTTAGCGTTTCACATTACTGCTCCAATATATTATTAGTGTAGTGTCATTAAACATATGTTGTGACCCTAAAATCTAAACTAAAAAATTTCGGCTTTACAGTTTACGTTGAAAGGTAGAGCAAAATGTGGCTGTCCTCAATTATATACGTTTCTTTATTATTGAAATATAGTGTTACCTACATCTATATCCTTGTTATGATAAGAAAAAATCGACAATGGAGCGTTTTGTGTATGCATAAATATGAATAATGTTAACAGTACCATTTCCTGACTCATAATTATAAAGCGGAAATAACAACAAAACCTGATAACACATGACATATATAAACACACCCTAGTGATGACTCTGCAAAGTAGTTTGCTGTTATCTCGTTAGAATAGAGGATGACTATCGTTTTACAAAAATTTTACAGGCTCCATAAAAAAAGAAAGTTTTTAAGCGCACAATTATGGTTTAGATGTCTTAAGATTAAAGGTAGTGCAAAAAAAAAGTCCCTCGAGTTTACACATAAGAAACTTGTATAAATAACTGTAAAATATATATATATATATAAATTATCGAAAAATTCCGGGTTTTCAAATCGTTTTCTGGGCTTACAAGCTGGAAAAAAAATCTGAATGGATGATTTGCTCATATTGTAGCAACTGTTGATTTTGTATACTTTTATAGGTGTATAAAATATAAATTCACAACTTAAAGATAGGCGTAGCCGTAGGAAAAAAATTACCCATCGTACTTCATTCATGCGTCACCTACCATCTCCAATAGTACATAATATAAATTTACAACGTTCGTAAATCATAATATTTGGGGATTTAATAAAGTCTAAAATACACAATAACAAAAATATATTTAATTAGATTTACTGTCGCTTCAAATTTATAAAATAATGAAGGCTTAAATTTTTGTCTTAGGCCTACGCGATTCAATTATTTCAACGATGATAAATACTTAACTGAATACAAATATAAGGTTGTATTTTAAGTTGTTAATATAAATATAACTAAAAATTCATGTTACGAACTGAAAGGTTATTAGATTTTCGTGTAGCAGTTATTGAGCAAATTATTAAAATTATTTTTTAAATAGAGTTTTCATATAAATTTAAGATTTAATTAAAAGTGTCACAGAAAATTTATAGTTGATTAAAATGCTAAAATCAACATGAAGAAGTTTCATTACGGGCAGCAACAGCCTGTGGTAGCGGAAGAGGAAGTGACCCGAAACGTCGAGATGTATCAACCACTGATACACGGATTAAACCATCCATCATGCTAAAATCAATATTCAGATTAACAACAGAACAAAAACTATTTAATTATGATTTTATAGCTCTTATTATTTTGTAACAATAGTCTTTGGACGGAGGTTGGGTGTTTTACTAATGTAGAAATTAAGGGTGTTTTATTAACAAGCATTTCCCACTTTCACTCCATAAATAGTTATATTATTAACCGTTTTAGGGGTAACTAGCTAGTGGTTATCTTATCAGACTCTAGAGGTGAGGTTCTGTGGTTTGAGCCCTGTCTCTGCTAAAGAAAATTACACTTCGCACTTTGGGGCCATGGGTAAGTTAGAAGAGTGATGGTCAAACCCTACTATTCGGTCTGAACACAGTAACTCATATGTTGGTGGTGGGTTGTGTAAACTAGCTGCTTTCCCTCTAATCTATCGCTTCAAAATTATGGACTGCTAGCGTAGCTATCCCTTAAGTAGCTTTGCGCGAAATTCAACAACAAACCATGTCTACAACTGGCTGTGAACCGTACGTAGTAGGCGAGTTTGGGTTGTAGTACAAACCCTGACCACTGTTTGACTTCTTGGCTAACTGTCTAGTCTTGCATCTGCGTTATTTGGATCATGTCTTATGGATGGAATACCCTCAACGATTTGGGGAGCTATTGCCGTAGACATTTTCTTTTCGAAATTATACATTTTGTACTTCCGTAACAAATATTTTTGTTGTTGTTGTTGGCACGATTATTTATTTTATAAAAAGGGTATGCAAAAAGTCTGGGCAACCCCCTCAAATAAAGATAGTGTACATGAAAGAAAGAATTTATTGCATATCGACTTATTTACGTTTCTCATATTGACACAGACTAACAGACGGCTCGATTAATAATCCAAAATGTCTGTCTGTTGGCCTTTCATAACATAGGATGATACTCTCCAAGTGCGATGTGACATCCTTAAAATATTGTGGGTGACCTTAGCGAAAATTTCAACAATTTTTGTCTCAAACGTCAATTGTTTCATATCGTTCCTTTTTCACAATCTGTTTGACAAAGCCCCACAGTGACAACAACAAACTTGGTAAGTGTTTTGGTTTTAATATTTAACAAGCCCCTTCGGGGCTTGAGAGACAACCGGGGGCGTTGAGAAACTGTTGTTTCTCTTCGCCCCGCTCGCGAAATTAAGGTTTAGTCCAGTAGTGAAAATGAAAATTTAGTGCTAACATTAGAAATTTAAAGCCGAATGGAATTAATCCACACAGTGAATTATCACATGAGCTTTAAATAAGTGGAGTGCCCATAATTTTTGCCCACACTGTATATATGGTTTTATTTTATGTATATATGTATGTGTGTTCAGTTAAATATGCTGAAATATTTGTCATAAATGCCCCCCCCTCTTTGTTTTTCAAAATTGGAATTTTCAATTGAACAGCACCTTTTGTGACACAAGGACTAAACGGCCAGGCCAAATATTTCTAGGATTCAGTTATAACTGACCCAAATTTTGATTTACTGATCAGAGGAAGGTCAGACACTCAGTAGCACTCGCCGCCACAAGGGTTTTTCCGGATCTTTGAACTGAATAACAGGATTGATTATCACTCCGCCCACAGTTAAACGTGTTCATTGTCCTCACAGCTCAAACCTCCGACCCTTTGATCTACAGCCTGGTATACCAGACCCAGTACGTATTTCACTCTAAGTGTATATAAACTTTACCTTTACATAATATCAGTGATGTTTCGTTAATCTCATGTATTTAATTTCGTATATTATTATTATTACAGGCCGTTATAAAATATTTCCTAAAAACTGTATTTTCGTAATATGATACCCTTAAAAAAAAGACATTTATAACAGCATTATATGATATCTTACAAAGATATAAGAAAAACATTGGGCGACTTTACGAACACAAATATCTTATCAACAAATGCTTACGTACCTAGTAGCGTCATAACTCCCAGGCCAAAAAGCAGTTTGAAGCGCCCCCGCATGACTGAAGAAAGACTTGCCTAACTAATTCGCAGTTATTGTAAATGATTTATATCTTTTAACCGAAGAATTCATGGAATGTGGGTCATTGCTTAGAGAGGAGCTAAAAAAACAACAACAAAAAACAAACAGCTGAATTTCGATATCGTGATTGGTACACGTCATTCTCGTGCTTAGCATTTCAATTCGGTAAAAAGTATCACACACTAATTGTATTAGTGAACATTCACGAGGGAGGGGTGGCTAAAAGACTTACCGCCACGTGCCACAAGACTACTAGGTATCTTTTACCAACTTCATACAACAGTGTTCTTATCCAAAATGGGAAACATGCACAGTTGAGTTTGCTCGAACTGCTGTTACGTCACAATCATACAAAATGAACAGACCCACACGCGCTGTTTATAAAGTAAGACTTCCAGTCAGTTTACACGTAAATAGAAATATAAGTTATGTTTGCAAGTGAAAAGAAACACTAATTTTCGATGTTTTAGATCGATAAAAAAAAGCAAAACCATATATTTACATTCAAGATTTACCGGAACTTCCGAGATACAGTGATACTAGTAACCATACATTTACATTCAAGATTTACCGGAACTTCCGAGATACAGTGATACTAGTAACCATATATTTACATTCAAGATTTACCGGAACTTCCGAGATACAGTGATACTAGTATACAACTTGTAGAAAACCTATGACAGAAAGTTAAAAACGAAAATAAAACTATACCAGTCACACTATATCTGCTGTGTCCCTCAGTGGCACAGCGGTATGTCTGAGAACTTAAAACACTAGAAACCTGGTTTCGATACCCATGGTGGGCAGAGTACAGATAGCCCATTGTGTAGCTTTGAACTTAACTTCAAATAATATCTGCTGTATCCAGTGCCGACGAGGCCTTTCGCGCAATACCAAGGTCGGCTGGGATACGACAGACATACCAGTAGTAGAAACGTTATTTATGTCATCAATTACTTGAACAACAACTGTTTTGGTGTGAATTATATGTATATATATTTCAATTTCATTTAAGTCTTTACACATTAGAATTAGGTTTATGATTTGTATTGACAGGGTCTGCAGCTAAATAGAAATATTAAAATAATAAAATGATGGCTAAACATTTATTGAATGTAATTACAAGTTTATAGTTGGTTAAAACGGTTCCATCAATGAAATTAACGAGGTATAATAAGATAGAAATTTTCAAATAAAATAATATATATATATATATATTATACAGTTTCCTGATTCGTTACGTGTGTAGATTCTCAGAGAAATTGTATTTAAAAATACACATTTGTAGCAATATTTCTTTCATTCCCGGGTTTCAGCATAAGTCAATGAGATAAAGCTCTAAATACCAATAAACGGATTTTAAAAATCCTATACTGCTGTTCAAGAGGCTTAAAGCAGCTCCATGTTTATGGATAGAAATATCTAATGTAGAAAGAAACATTTCTCATCTCATCGCATTCAACTCTGTTATTAAGACTGTTATATATATATATATATATATATATATAA